TCCTACAGCTAACAGTGTTCTGATGGTAGACATCTTTGCGACTGGTGAATATATCTCATTATAATCAAATGTCTTCTCTTGTGCGAAGCCTCTGACCACTAATCTCGCCTTATATTGATTGATTTTTTCTTTCTCAAGTGGCTTAAGTGAGTAAATCCATTTTGTATCCAGTATTTCAACATCGTCCCTTGCTTTAACTTCTTTCCACGTATCATTTTTCTTTATTGCATCTAGTTCTTTATCCATTGCCTCTCTCCATAGACGTTCATCCTGTCTTCCCTTTATTTCTTCCACGTTGATTGGAGCTTGCTCTACAAAAGCCATTGCATCAAACGCCATATACATTTCAAACTCTTTGTACTTTGCCGGTGTCTTTATCACTCTTCTGCTTCGTACCTTCAGTCGTTCATCATCGCTTTCCGTAATCTCATTTTCATCAATAACACCATTCTCCTTTGTTTGTATCTCTTCTGTTACCTCTTCATCTGGCTCGTTTACCCATTCTTCTTCACCTTATATGCTCACTTGCTTGCCCTTATGATGGAACCCCTTTTCATCAAACGTGACATCTCTGGCTATTTGTACCTTTTGTTTTTCCATGTTCCACAATCTGTACCCAGTAGGCGCATATCCCATCATCAAACACTTCTCCGCCTTTGAATCAAATTTGCCTCTCAGTTTCTTTGGGATGTGCGCATACGCTACTGATCCAAATACTCTCAGGTTCTTGACACTTGGGTTTTTGCCATACCTCAGCTGGAGTAACTTCATTCAAACATACGCTGGGACTTCTATTTAATACATACGCTGCCGTCCTGATTGCCTCATTCCAGAACTTCTTGGGAACCTTCGAGTCCAACATCAGAGTTCGCGCCATGTCCACCAGATTTCTATTGAACCTTTCTGCCTTGCCATTTTGCTGTGGCGTGTACGGAACTGTGTAGTCTATTACAGTCCCATTTTCTCTGCAGTAGTTTCTTAGCTCTTGTGAGATATATTCCCTGCCATTATCACACCTTAACGTCGCTATTCTTTGCCTCATTCTACATTGCACCATCCGGGAGAACTCTCTAAAACATTTGAACACTTCACTTTTGTTTTCAATTATATATACATTAACAAAGTTAGAATAATCATCAATAAACGTTACAAAATATTTGCCACCATCATGTGCAATCGGTGAAATAGGTCCACATACATCGGTATGTACTATCTCTAGTAGCCTTTTACTTTTACTTCTTTGTCCAAATTTCAATCTGGTCATTTTTCCACTTACGCACGCTTCACAAAATTCAACCTTGTTTATCTTTAACTCATCTAGATCCTCTACCATCTTATTCTTAACTAGCTTCTCTAAGCTTGTATAACCAATATGTCCATATCTTCTATGCCACAGGTTTACGCAGTCATTTTCTGTCTCTACATTTAAACACTCATTATTTGCAACGACAAATCTTATTTCATACAAACTATTTCGAATACCTACACCTATCAAGTTACCATAGTCATATAGTTTCACCTTACCATCTGGCAACACAACTTTAATGCCAGACATTTCTAACCTCTTTACCGATAAAAGATTTTTTCTTAAGTTAGGTATATAGAACACATTTCTAATTTTACACTTTATCTGAGCACCACCTACATGACTCAACGCTTCAATATTCCCTATACCTATTGCTTCTATAAAACTATCATTCTTCGCAATAGCTATTTTAACTGGTGTCTTTAACATCATTAAGTCTACAAAGTACTCTTTCTTATTAACTAGATGATTTGTACAACCTGAGTCCATATAAAACACTATCTCATCTTTGCTTACAGTCTCTTCGCCTTACATAGCCTACATAGATATACATAGCTACTCATAAAACAAACACTCTTGTCGCTCTTCATATTATCCTGGTCATCACTCTCCACAAAGTTCCCTCTTCTCACATATTCACTCCTCTGTCTGGATTGTGATCTCTGCTGATATGACCGATTCCAATTGGGGTTGAACCTCTGTACGTTGCTCTGCATATGTCCACTTTGACTTCCTCTCACATGACTGCCTCCACGTTGATCTCTCCTGATCCATGGTTTCTCAATGTTGTAGCCTTGCTGATTCTTTTCATCTCTCATCTTTCTACAGTTTCTCTTGTAGTGTCCCACTTCACCACAACCATAACACACTACTGTTCTCTGCGACACAAATGCTGTGGGCTTGTGGCGTTCTTCCTTATTCAGTCTTCTTTTATCTACTTCTCCTCTAAGTTTTGACTTCACCACATCCAAACTCAACTCTTCAGCTGGCATGTTTTCCAATATAGACACCACGGTGTCATACGACTTTGGTAACGCTATCAGTAAATTACATATCACATCTTCATCCTTTATTTCCACACCACTCGTCTTCAGTTGACATAGTACTTCATCAAACTTTATAAGGAATTCATCCAAATCTTCATCTTCATGCAGCTTCAGCGACACTAGCCTTCTCTTTAGATATAACTGCCCAGGTAGCCCCTTCTTTTCATACATTTCCTTTAATGCTACCCACATTCCATAGGCCGTTTCTTTTTCTCTAATTATCTCTATCTGATTGTCATCAACACTTTGCGCAATAATTGATTTACATTTATCATTTTTCTTACTAGCTTCCTCTTTTTTCTTCTTATCATTATAATCTTCTTCCTTGAATTCTTCTTTTATCATCTTTGCCACTCCATGTTCTGCTAGTATCATTTCTACTCTGAATTTCCATGTATGAAAATTTTTTCCGTTTAACGGATCGACGCAAAACGTGCTCCTTATAATCGACGCCATATTTTTACATGTGCTTTTCTTTGTACGTATCTTTATCCACTTTAATCCACCTACCTGGGCCCATAACCTGTCGTAACTACGTTTAATTCTATGGCCGTGATCGTAAATAATTTATTACTCCCTTTATCTCTGTGCTTGAACATTTATTTAGTTATATATAATATATTATAAGTTTAGTAGATATTGCAAAGGCTTCTCTTTCACACATACCGGTTCTCATTCTCTTATCATACCCAAATCATACACTCGTACCAACATCAACACTCATACCAATATAGACATTCATACCAATAGAGAAACGGGAGCCATTATCCCTATGACAATATTAAATTCGTTTTGCTGACTGGGGGGCTGAGCCCCCTAGACCCCCCCTAATTGTGTAAATTGTGTTTATTTCCTTATATTAAAAATGGGTATCGGTATTAGTTAGTTTAGTATTTAGGGGGGTCTGAGGGGCAGAGCCCCCCAGTCAGCAAAACGAATTCAATATTTAATATTTAAGATTCGTTAGATGTAGGTAAAATGTAAACATGCAAATACAATGTGCGAATAGGTCACCAATATATTGTATACACCAGTATACACCAAATACATACAATTTCGAAAATATTCAGTTTATATTTCACAATGGAGTGTACTGGTTGTACAATAAGTCTTGTAGACGCGTGCACTTTATTTAAAAATTGTACCGATAGTATCGAATTTTTGCGGAGACACGGAATACTTTCATGCCAAACAAAATGTTCGCAGTGTGGAGAGAGTTCTGTGTTAAATGGAAAAACCTTGCAGTGGCGATGCCAACGGGTTAAAATAGTGAATAAGAACAAAAAAATAATAAGTAACAAGTGTAATTTCACACAATCGATAAAAACAGACACTTGGCTACACAATTCACATTTATCTCCTGACAAGTGTTGCTTGTTTGTGTCACTATATATAATTCTGAATCCGCCGCATCAAATATTTCTGATGGAAGAATTGAAAATGAATACGAAAACAATATGTAACTGGAGCAGCTACATCCGAGAGGCGTTAGAACACTGGCTGTTATTCAATTCTTCCGACCAATTGGGTGGTCCGGGGAAAATCGTTGAGATCCATGAAGCGAAATTCGGGAAACGAAAATATATTCGCGGAACAATTATTGAAGGGCAGTGGATTTTTGGTGGATTGGAATGTGAATGCAAATAAGTATTCATGGAAAAGGTCGATGATCGACATCAGCGACATTATTAGAAATTATAAAACATCGTATTAAACCGGGAACGACAATCATGTCTGATTGTTGGAAGACCTACAATTGTCTTAACGAAGAAGGTAGATTGCAAAATTATCATACTTTTTTATGCTTTTATATTTGCTACTGATTTATTTGATTTATGCCAGGATTTTGACATCTAACGGTGAATCACTCATTAAATTTCGTCGATCCAGATTCGGGAGCATACACACAAAATATTGAAAGATTATGGCGCGATGCTCGTGGTAATATCCCAAAATTCGGACGACGTGATTACCACATGGCTGGTTATATTGTTGATTTTCTATTTCGTCGAGGTTTCACCGCGCACAGTGAACGCGTACATGCCATCTTCGATGCTATTCAGCAATTTGATAATGAAGAATTGTCAAAATAGTTTGTATGTCTATTGTATTTTGAAACAACCTTGAAAAAAAGTTCGCAAGTTCGACGAATAAAAATCTTGAAAAAAATATTTAAAAAATATTTTTTGACATTGTTTTTGTTGATGCGCCGCCATAATAACATTAAATATGATGTTTTTTAATTGTAAGAAACCACACAAAAAAAATCTGCTCGATTCTGACAGGAGTTACACTTCCGAATATTTACCTATTATTATTCTATTTTAATTATTATCATTATTTTTTTTCACATTACTATTATTATTATTACTACTACTACTACTACTACTGCTACAATTACTATTATTATTATTATTATTATTATTATGTAGATAGATAGATAGCTTTATTTCTTGCCTTTCAGCTTTGAAAGGGGGTTTGGCACGTGAGTGGGTCTACAATATTTTATAAATTATGTACATTATGTTTAATATAGTATCGTCCGTGAGCTTCAAGTCTTCTGTCTCTGGCATATCTCCTTCCTTCTTCGAATTATTTCCCTCATTCATTTTCTCCCTTTCTGTTGACCCTGCAAAATATTCCACCTTGTTAAATCATTATCCCTTTCCCCTTCCCTTCATTCTTCTAACAAGTGTTCTACTGTCTCCTCTCCTAATCCACACATTCTACAGACGTTGTCCTCTTTCTTTTTCCAGTATCTGTTGCCTCTTTCTTCATTCCCACATCTGAACCTTGCAATCATTGACTGGTCCCTTCCGTTGTATTCTGCTTTCAGATAATAAGCTCGGTTTTCCTCCCTTATTCCTCTGTATTTTCCGTTATACCTTCCTATTACTATTCTATCATAAAAAGATTAGCACTGTTCTGCTCTGTCTAACTGTGATAGATTTTCTGCTAGCGTCAGGTCTCCCGTACATCTAGTTTTGACATCCTTTATTTCTATTCCTTTCTCTTCGTAGTATTGTCTTCTCTGTTCTTCCCATTTCGATCTTTTCCTCTCGCATTTTGTATCTATCTCTTTCCAGCATTCCAGTATTATCTTGTTAATTCCTTTCGTCCTTGTTTTTTCTTCGTATCTCACCGCTCTCCTGCCTGCTTCTATTCTTATTTTGTCCTCCTTTGTTTCATCCATTACTATATATGTTGATGTATTGAAATCCAATCCTAATACCCATTTTATGTACTTTGTATGTAGTTTTTCAAGTCTCTCCGATTCGCTCCATCCCCATATCTCTGCTGCATACATCATAACGCTTTTCACCAAACTTCTATAGATCTTCATCCTTCTTTCAAAGTTGTTTTTGAATCTTCTTTCGCCTATTCCCCATGTTTGCTTCATCACTATCATCGCTTTTTTCGCTGTTTCTCTCCAGTGCATCTCCGTTCCTCCATTTTTCTGGAAGTGATACCTTAGGTATTTGAAGTCTTTCACTTCTTCTAATTCTTCATCTCCCCATTTCCATATCTCCTTTTTCTTCTAACTTCTTCTTTTCTTGAAAATTATTATCTTCGACTTTCCAGCGTTTAGCATTAACTCTCTTCTTTCAAAGTACTTTTTCATTCTGTTTATTATTTCCTTTAAGTCCTGCGGATGTTTTGCTAATAGTACGATGTCATCTGCGTACGACAGTGACCAAAACTACTCTTTTCCGGTCACCATTCCTCCTGCTTGTCTTTCTCTCAATTTCTCTTCCAGGTCCGCCGTATATAACGAGAATAAGGTAGGTCTTAGTGGACATTCTTGCCTTAATCCTTTCGTTGTCCAAAACTTTTCAGATACTTTCCCATCAACTTTTATCCTATTCTCTGTTTCTTTGTAAATTTCGTTAATTCTCGTTCTTAGAGTGTAGTTCTCCATAACCTTGCTCAGCTTTTCTCTGTTTAGTTTATCGAAAGCCGCTGTTAGATCTGCGAAGAAAGCATGTAGCTTTCCTCCTTTTTCTTTGATTTCTCTGCTTACCACATAGTTCAGAATAAAAATATTGTCCATTGTGTTTCTTCCTTTTCTGAAGCCTGCTTGCGTCTCTGGTATGATTTTCTTTTCCTCTAGTTCTGCACTTATTCTGTTCTCCAGAATCATCGCGTATATCTTGTATGCCGTGTTTAGTAGCGTTATCCCTCTGTAATTCTTTACATCATCCCTGTCTCCCTTCTTGAATATAGGGCTAATTATACCTACTTTCTATCTTCTTGGCATTCCTTCTCCCTTCCATACTTTGTTAATCAGTGTTGTAATTCTGGTGAGTACCTTTCTTCCACCATGTATCCAGACCTCGTTTTCTAGGCCGTCTTCCCCTGCTGCTTTTCTTTTTTTCAATTTTTTAATTTGCCTCATCACTTCTTGTTCTGTTATAATTTTATTTGTATCCTGCTGTTCCTGTTTCCTCTAATCTCTCTTCTTCTTGGTCCTTTTGTTCTTTTCCTTCTAGTAATTCCATGAAATATCTTCTCCAGCCCTGTATGCTTACTTTGTTTGTTGTTCCTATTCTTTTTTCCTTTCCCGTCTGATATATTTCCATATTTCATTTGTGTTTTTAATTTGTTCTATTTCTTCCTCTTCTTTCTTCGGTTGTTGGTCCTTCTTCTTCTCGCAGAGTTTCTTGAATTCTCTTCTTTTCTGAATGTATGTCACCTTTTCCCCTTTACCTCTTCTCCATTTTCTCAGCTCTTTTCGCGTTTCTCTTTTTTTCTCTGTGCATTCTTTATCCCACCATTTCTTGTACCCTAGTTTCATTTTCATTACCTTTACCTCTTTCTTGTGTACCGTCCCGTTAATCTTATCTACCATTTCTTCTATCATTTCGTTTGGATCCTCCTTTTCGAATTCAATTTGTTCCACTTCCTCCTGGTAGTGTCTCTTTCCTTCCGCTGTCCAAATCCGTCTCTCCTTCCATATCTCTTATTCTTGCTTCTCTACGCTGGTTTCTCCATAAATTTCTAATTTCAGTGGTAAATGATCTGACTCTATCCTATCTTCTATCCTGAAACTTCTGATATTTTCTTTAATTGCTGGGTCTATTAATACATAATCGATTACTGTGTTTCCTTTGCCCCCAATGAAAGTATATTCACCTTCTTCGTCTCCTTCAAAATTACCGTTCATAATTTCCCATCCGTTGTCTTCTACCATTTCTATTAGCCTGGTTCCTTCTATGTTTTTTATTTTATCTCTCGAGTTTCTCGTTTCTTTGTCCTTCCTATCCTCATTGCTAAATGATCCTTCTAAACCTATTCTTGCATTGAAATCCCCGCCGATTATAAGTCTTTCTTCTTTCATACCTCCGATTACATCTTCTATATTCTCTCTCGTCTTTTTCATATCTCTGCTGTATACCGTGATTATTCTCCATATATTACCTTGTATCTCAATCTTCCGTTCTTGTATGTCCGAATTTTCCACCTGTGTATCTCTTTCTGTTATCCTTTTCTTCACTCCCGTTATGATGCCTCCGCTCGCTCTACCTTTGTTCTTCTCTTTTTTTGCCAGTTGACATTTCCAGTTGAAACTGCTCGGCAACCTGTTCTGTAACCCATTCCATTGTTTCTCGTCTACCCAAGTTTCAGTTAGTCCTACGAAATCGTATGTCTCCACGTATTCCCAAAATTGTTTATCTTTATTGTACAGACCTGCGACGTTCCAGAAACCTATCGATAATGTCTTATTCTTTACCTGCTGCTTGACATGTACCTTCTGTTTTCTTTTCTCGTTCTTTTCTCGTTCTTTTCATTGTTGTAATTTCCCTCTCCTCCCCTGTTCGTCTTTTCAGACGCGGGAGGAGTGGTACTTAGAGCCTTATCTTCTGTCGCGGTCCCTTTTCGCTCGGTGTCTTTCTCTGAAATTAGAGTCACCGAACTTTGACGGCTCCAAAATTTTGCCTCTTCAAGTCCTACTCCCTCTTTCCATTTGAAAATCCTGTCGGTTATCCTTACCTTTCTGTATCCTATTTTCACGTGTGCTCCCTGCTCTCCCTCCGCTTTCGCAATTCCTAAGATTGCCTTCTGAGTTTCTCTTTCGTTTTTTGTTAAATCATTATCAATGTATATTTTCTTACCTTTCAGTTTGCCCTTCTTCATCATTACCTCTTTTTTCTGTTGCCAGTTTCTTAACTTTGCTATCAAAATACTCCCTTTCTCTCCCTTTCTCGTCCAAAAAGCATCCTCTATTTCCACCTCCACCTGCAAATTTTCTGATATTACCTTTTCTGCCGTATCTTTCGGTGTTTCGCCTCTTGGTAGTTCTTCTCCTTTCAGTGTGATATTGTTTCGTTTCTCCCTTTTTTCTCTTGCCTCCTCTTTTCGCTCTATACGGCTTATTCTTTCAATTAATTCGTCCGCCTTATCTCTTTTAGTTTCTAGATTTTTAATTCTCTTCTGTATTTCTTCTTTTTCTCGCTCCCACGCTTCTTGCTTTCTTTTCCATCCTTTTTTTAATTCTCCTATTTCCTTATTTATGGATTCGTTTTCTTTCTTAATATCTTGTGTGTCCTTCTTCACTGTCAGTACAAGCTCAGTCAATCTGTCTACATTGTCCATCTTTATATCTTTAGGTTCGCCTTCTGTTCCTTCGCTTTCTGTTCCTTCCCATTCCGTAGCTTCTTGCGGCGGTGATCTTCCTACTCTTCTTGCTTTTTGGAAATTTTCTATCAGTTCTTTCTCCACTCTTCTTCTTTCTTCTTCTGCTTCTTCTTTCTTCTTCTGCTTCTTCTTCTTCTCTTTTTCTTTTAAAAGAGTCCAGCAGTGATCCTTGGCTGCCCGACCTATACTTCCCAAGCTGTTCAGCTAAAGTCGGCCTTCCTCTTTTTCCGGAATCCTTTGGGCTCTCCGTCTCTCCTGTCTTACTCATATATGCTTTTCGCTCTCTGCGTTCACTTCTATGGCTATACAGTAAAACCTGGATAAATTCAACCAAGATTGGGACTCAGTGGTTGCGTTTACCTAAGCACGGTATCGAAGCTCGGATGACACGCGACGACCAGCTAAGCGTGAACGTAGAAAGGGACAGACAGTTGTGGAAAGAGAGAGGTCCGAAATCAAAGGAAAGAGCCGAAACGTATCGGTGTGACTAATACTAATTGAATCAAAAAACTTTTTTATTTTTGACTTTTTTTGAGTGAAACTTTTACTAGCGCATTGGTGAGATTTTTGTGAGTAAAGTGGTACCAAACACGATATAGTTTCAATTATAATTACTTGCTAAAATTGATGTTATAAGTTGGCGAAAAGCAAGAGAGATCGAAATCCAAACCAGTCGCGGTGTCGGCTTTGGTTTCAAAGGTTTCATTTATCCTAGCGAGGAGTCGATTCTGGGCATTTAATGTTTCATTTATTCAAGCAAGGAGTCGATTCCGGGCATTTAATGTTTCATTTATTCAAGCAAGGAGTCGATTCTGGGCATTTAATGTTTCATTTATCCAAGCGAGGTGTCGATTCTGAATCCGTACACATGTTTTCTTTGTAGCCAACATGCCGATTCTGTGTCCGTACACATCTTTTGTATTCAGCCGACATCATTTATATACAGTCGTGGTCTCAATTCTATGTTGCTTATTCTATTACTATTGTTTATAAATATAATTCAACCTATATCGAGTTTGGTATCATTTTAATCAGAAAAATCTCACAAATGCATTAGTAACAGTTTCATTGAGAAAAAGTTAAAAATAAAAAAGTTTTATCGTTGAATTAGTATTAGTCACACGGATATTACGGTCGGATCATATTACACGGTTTCCTCGTCGAGCGGCTCGGTTCGCCTAGGGGGATCCCCCCAAGTGGAGGGGATAGCGATGTTTCATTTATCCAAGCATTCTTTCGTTGAATTTATCCAGGTTTTACTGTACTTCGCTACTTGGCTGCGCCAGACTTGACGCGGCCGCTCTGGTCTTCCTCTAGATGTCGCTACCTTCGTTTTTCTTTATCTTATCAGTTTATCATCCAATCGATCTACATTTATCGACGTATTATTCCACGTCGTTTATTAATCTACAATATCGATTTTTTCCACGTAGCTCATTAGTCAATCTAACCTCTTACCTCTTTCACCAGTTTCATTTCTTTTAAGTAACTTGTTTCTGTGTACCTTTTTGATGCCTTTATTCACCTGTGTTTTTTTATTTTTTTCTCTTTCCAGCGGTATTTATTGCACCTCTATCCGTTAAGAATTTCCTTCGGAATTGATTGATTTTGTTTCACTTCTCTCCGACTCGTACTGATTCTATAGCTATCGTCACGTGACCCCCTATTATTATTATGTATTTCGTTCTGTATATTTTTATTATATTATAATATTTTCCACTAGTTACGTTCTTGTCATTTATTTTTCTATTCCATCATGTGTACTGACGATATACACATATGATCTCCTAGATCCTTAGTTTTTGAAATATAATGAAAAATATCAGCAGACGTTCGTGGGATTTATGCGTCTCTCCCCCTTCCATTATTATATAAATATATTTATATGTCTATAATGTAATAACAATTTAGATCATTTTGCTCGGTAGAGTCCACAGAATTATTCCGCGGAAAAAGGACCTGAATATCTGAGATTGTAAAAGTATAAATAATTTCCAAAGTTGAATACTTGCAATTTTTCTTTATTGATTATCTAAAAAACTAAAAAAATTAGATAAAAATGGTTTACAGATGCGTATTTAGCGTACAAAAATGTATAAGAATCACTTATTAAAAGTTACAAAATCAAATAACTATTGCAATTTATCAAACGTTGTTGTAAGTGGACGATTTTTTCAGTGAGGTTCATTTCGGACACGATCCTATTTGCAATGCTATATCTATATTATTATTCAACAAAATCTTTTACTTTTTGAATATGT